TACTGGGGATTCATGTAGTATATAGTGAAATACTTAAATAATGTTTTGGAGAGCTGACTCACTATGCTTATGCCTGTAATTTGCTGCTGGGTAGTTTGTCACATATTTAATCTGTAACTAATTTTTTCAGGACTACCATTGTGCATCGTGCACTATTGTCAGATAGCAAAACCTTTCCTCACGTTTCATCTCGTACTTGTCTATAAGTGGTGGCCACATATTTTAGCTGCCTCTCTGAACTTTCCCTGGTCATACATAGCTTGGTAGTATGTAGTCTTTTCCTCCCATTTGACCTTCTCCCTCCACCCCTCCACCCCCTAAAAATTTTAAATATTCTTTCTTGATTATCTCTTGAGTAATGAAATAATCAAAATTGCGGTTCTGGCCTATCCTCTTTAATTTTCTTATTCTGCTGTAGTATTATCGTGTCATTAGACTGTGATGACTTTGAGAGTTTATCTGATGGGTTGTCTAGAAATGCTTAATTTCTGTCCAGTTTTGAGAGGAAGTTCCACTTAGACCTATTCTGTTACAGATTCTGGGTTTAGACAGGACTATTCAACAGAATGATCTAAGCCTTGTGTTCAGCATGACTATACCCTTAGTTTCCCACTTGCAAATAGGGTTAGGAAGTGTATTTCTTTCCTGCAAAATAATTTTGAAGATTGCGAAGCTGAAATAAAAATGCATGAGGCTTAAATGGATACCCAGAACTGCACTTGTAACGCTCCATTAGTGCTATTGTGTGGGGGAAAAAAACCACCCCAAAACAACCTCTACATCTGTAGAGCCAAGGAGGAGGGATATACTTCAGGATCTATAGCCTTCATCCCATGTAGTCTATACTTGCTTAGTTTGTCAGACAGAAATTTCATAACTACATCTAGTAGAACTGAGATGACTCATCTATATTCATTTTAGCATCTATCAGTAGGACGTATCAAAATGGTTGGAAACTGTTCAGCAGAAAGCTGCTGGGGATGTAGGATAGAGAAATGTGTGGCTGGTGACCCTCCCATATAGATACTTCCTTTAATTGCTGGATTGGAACAATAAAACAAGGTCTCGACTTCATACCCTCGAAATGTATTGTCATTACTAAATCCAGTGAGACTGAATGGATTTTGGGTTGTTGGTCCATCCTTTAGAAGCTGAAGTTTCAAACAGGCCTAATGTGGTATCATATAAGGCACGAAAGCTTAGATTTGTTTCTCATATGTCATAAACACGAAGCAAAATTTTGCCACTTTATTCCTCTTCCAAGGCTTTCAGTAGCAGTTCTCTTCTTTATTTTTTCCCATACCTTTTTCTCTCTCCCCTCATTCCAGACCTGAATCTTGTGAATTTTTTTGTGTAGATAGTTAACATTTTTTGTGTTTACAGCAAAAGAAGAAAAAATCCTATCTAAAAATCCCATACCTGAGATCAAAGTTAAGTGTATGTCCACCTAATGTATTTTGAATTTCTTAGAATTTAGATTAATTCAGGTTATAAAAACATTCTGTGTGGTAGTTTAGATTACCAGCTTTTAAGAGCATGGTACTGTCTATAAATACTGTCTAGAAGATTTTAGGTGCTAACAGAATACAGGCATTGATAAAGAGTAGTTTATAGGATGGAAATGGCAGTGAATGCCAATTTTCTGATGCATTTTTTTCATTATCTCTTTGTTTTCATTTCTGGTACCTCTGGGTTTCATGAGACGTGGCCATGTCAAAGTTTACCAGAAGGCTTTTGCTGAAGGGACTGGTATTCTGGGGATTGTTTCAGTCTTCCTCTTTCCTCCCTGCCCTCCTTCACATTTGCCTCTCAAAAATTCCTCTTCTTAGTAGCAGGTATTCAAGGACATCTCTATCAGTTTTTTTTTCTACCTGATTTTTGGGAAAAGCTGTAGAAAATGCTGACTGTAGCAATAAAGACTTTCTTTTTGGCACAGCCCACTCAATTTCTTCGCCTCTTTTGACCCTGTCCTTAAACTGGGAAGCTTGTAACTATAGACATGAATGGTTTGTTTTATTGCACAGTGAACCATCCTTCCAGTAAGTGGGTGAAAAGGAGTCAGCGAGGCAAAAAAAGTGAGAACATAGGGAGAGATCCACCTTGAGTATCACGATTACGCAAGCTTGGAAGTGTTTTCAGACATTAACTAGGTGATGGTAAAGCTGCCTTTTGAACTACGACTTACAAAGATATATCTCATGATATAGAAAAAAGAAATGTGTATGTACGCTCACGTTTAATACCATTTTACACATGCATATATAGCTACAAAGATGTGTGCAAACACGCAAATATTAAGTAGTTAATGCTGCATTTGCCACAAACCATCTACAGTGTTCTAATGCAGCAGAGGTTCTCCCCCCCCCCCCCCCGTCTGGCTACATCTTCCATTCCCTTAAATGAGGTCACCAGTGGAACCATTCATAATGCTTAATAACACACTCTACCAGTGATGCACTCTTCAGAATACTGAAATTGATTTTTCTTCTCTAAAAGTGTGACCTGCCAGTGTAGCCTTTGTCCTAACGCCTAATTAATACGTGAGTTCCTGACAGCACAGGATGTGAGCACAGATGTTCTGCAGGCATCAGAAAAAGCAGCCTCAGTGCAACGTCTAATGCTGTCGAAGGCATTTCATTTGCTGCCGATCAATGTCTGGGTTCTCCCCCCCCCCCCCCCGTCTGGCTACATCTTCCATTCCCTTAAATGAGGTCACCAGTGGAACCATTCATAATGCTTAATAACACACTCTACCAGTGATGCACTCTTCAGAATACTGAAATTGATTTTTCTTCTCTAAAAGTGTGACCTGCCAGTGTAGCCTTTGTCCTAACGCCTAATAATACGTGATGTTCCTGACAGCACAGGATGTGAGCACAGATGTTCTGCAGGCATCAGAAAAAAGCAGCCTCAGTGCAACGTCTAATGCTGTCGAAGGCATTTCATTTGCTGCAGATCAATGTCTGCTTTGAAGAAGAATAATTAAGGTGTTTTGTTCCTTTTGAAATGGGTTCTCAAAATTAGGTTTGAATCGTCCAAAGCTTAATAAGGGGCTAGATAGATATGCATGAGGTATGAGCATCTTGTTAAATTCATGGATGCTTAACACTTTTGAAATTCATATTATTAAGGTAAGAACCTAACTTTAGGCAGCCTCTTTAATGATAATGGTGAATATGGTTAAAGCTGTTAAAAATAACACAGTGGATCTGAGCAGCTACCTGTCTGTTCCACAGCACCTTTGCTGTAGTGCCTATCCTGAGATAACTTTTAAGAAAAATGCTGTTCTGTTCCCTGCCATATTATGCCTGCAACATAGGAAATTATACTGTTCATTCTGCATCACACAGAGCTTCTGTCTGAAATTGTCATCCTACCAAGATGAGGGAAATATTTTCGTGGACTTTATTTAGTCCTTCAAGGTTGGATGGACAGATTGTTTATTTGTTGTTAGTTGTTGTTGTTAGTTTTACTGTAAGTTAATCAGAATTTACACGGTTAGTGCAGAAATTGCTAGGTAAGGGTCTGTGTGATGCAGATGAGTCAATAATTCCTTGTGATCTTGAACTCTGAATTTAATACTTCCGCAGTGTCGGACTGCATCTTGTTAGGTAGTTGCACAGCCAGTGCTGTTCCTGTTCCTGAGGGTGTGGGCCACTCTCTTTTCCACTTATGCTTCCTATCACAGCGGCAGTGACAGCTAGTATGGCAAAGTACAGTTAAGCATGCTAAATGTATAATCCAGTTGTCTTTTAATGCAAGTTGACAGCTGCTGGCAAGGCGGGTTGAAATGGTATTCTTGGAGACTTCTGCTACACATCACAGTCTGAAAAAATCCCAATCCCTACAGCTCCTTCTTACAGGGTTTATTCAGCTCTGTTTGGTGTGAGAAGCACTGTATTCTTTTAATGAACTAGCTTTTTGTAATGCTTGCTAATTCTCCACAATGTTGCTTGCTTATTAACAAAAATTTCAGAACAGGAACAGTATACAGGCTTATGTTATTTACTATATCTGTTCATGATAATATTACCATTTTTATTGGTGCAAAAGTGCATTTCTATATAGCTAATTTAGTAATATATACCAGCACTAAGTCTTAACTAAGAGCTGAAGTACATTTGCAATCTGATGTTTTAACTTGCTGTCCTGAAGAAAAAAATGAAGTTAGCTTGTGATAAGAACACACCCCACCCCAGAACAATTTTCATTGTTCTGTCTTCAGAGGCGATTTACAGCCGTGAGGAGGTAAATAGTTTCTTTCTGGCTGTCATCAGAAGCCACAGAATCACAACACGGCTGAGGCTGGAAGGTGCCTCTGGGGACTGTCTAGTCCCATGCCCCTGCTCAGAGCAGGTTGTCCAGGACCATGCCCGGTCGGGATTTGAGTATCTCAGAGGATGGAGGTTCCAGGGAATATGTATTATCCTCTTTATAGTTTCACACTGATGTTTTAACTGTATAGCAATTTACTAACTTAGTAGGTGTATTTAGGCTTCTTAACGTGCTGCTCTTCCTGTTGTATACACTGCTAGATCTACTTGTGAATTTTCCAGGTTTCTGAAACTTTGAAGCACCATTTCATAATAGCAGTGTTGTTTATTAGGGGATGTGGCATAATCTGTGACTCGGGCTTATCTGTTTCTGGACCAGTTGTGTGTCCTTATGAAAGCTGCATCTGTTTTCTTTGTTGGTCCTCTCCAATAGATTTCTTTTCTGTTTTGTTTTCAGTGTTTCTGGTGCATGGATGGGTGTGCTTTGGGGGTGAGGAGGGCAACAGTGAAATCCTGATCACCTCTTGGAGATTCTCTAGTGCAGTATGTGGGAAGTAAGATGCTTACCTTGGAGGCTAGTTTAGTCTTGTTTAAGTCTAGAAATATTATTGAATGTGAACCTCTGATCTCTGATTCTTAGAAAAGATGCTTTTTGTGAGTGAGCAATTCTCTTTTCAATAACTCCCTGACACAAAGACAACTAAGGCTTTTGCTGTTGCCTGACAGGGATTGATGGCCCAGCTGCTTTTCAAGATGATGTTCAGAAGATAGGAAGTCAAGTGCAGATTCTCACTGTTGGACAGTCTAGCCATGATGAAGATGATGGAGAGAAAATGGCTAGTGGCCAACAACAGCAAAGCAAACAAGATCTTAGAACAGCAATGCAGAAAAAAGGTAAGTAGCCAAAGCTGCCTTCATGTTCCCATTGCTTGCTTTATGTACGTTGACTCCTTTTGCTATTCTCACTCTCAGCCCTAGCCGAAGCAGAGATTGTTACTCTGTGTTTCTTCTCCTCAGAGCCTGTTAGACTCTATTCTATTATCTTAAAAAAAAACCAATAATGAAGTTCTCTCTTGTCCCAAGGAACAAGAACTCTCCAGGCTCTCAGGGATGTGGCTTTCCCATCTGTAGTGCAGTGCCGCTATTAAGGTACCAGGCAGATGCTAGTGCTCATATCCATCTGTTCACATTTTTATATTGTACAACTCTGGAAATCACTTACTTGAGGGTTAATAAAGGAGTAGGGAATAGCAACATTCAAACTAGAATACTAATTTTAGTATTGACAATTTACTAATTGTCAGTTAAATATTGTTCATGTTTTCATAATGTGTGTTCGTGCTTGCAGAGGTGAAAATTACAGCACCGTGTATTCTGCAGCATTTCCCATGCATAGTCCTCACATGTTCTGGAATATTTTTTTTTTCTAGAGGCATGCATGATTTGGGAGATAGATTGTGTATGTACACATTCATGCATCCGTCCCTTCCTTCCTGCACTGTTATTATCTCTCATTAGACATTAACTGTAGGAAGGGAAAAAAAAAAATCCTAAAATCCTCACAAAGCTTTTTCTGAGGGCATTTGCTTTGGACTTGTTCTTCTTCAGTGTACAGCTTTTGAAGCAAAGATGGCTCAAGCCAAGAGTGCTCTGATGCTTTAAGAATAAACTCTTTGTGTATAAAGAGCAAAATGTAAGTGCAAACTTGACTCATCTAGAATAGACTATTCATACCTAAATGCCCGCCTCTTGTCTGCAGAGCAGTTCTCACTAAGATTCATTTTTTCTGGGACGTTACTCTGCAGATGTGAGCAACTTCAACTGAAATGGGCAGATTTTCTCCAAGTGTGGTATTTCCTGGGCATTTGAATCGGAGGGATGTTGGCATGACTAACGAGTTCTGATCTGTGTGGTGATTGTGTTGCCTTAGACCATGGCTCAGAATATTTAATCATCAGGCACACTACTTACTAAAGCTGATTGACTTAAAAACTATCAACAGACTTCTCAAATTAGGTCAGAGCACTCAGATTTTTACTCTGGGGGACATTTCTATTTTTTATGTTTTTTTCCAGGTTAAGATATATTTTTATTCTCCCCAGTTTTTTGTTTATTTTTTAATAGAAGTAGTGGGTGGGGTATTTTTGATTTGGTTTTGTTTTGTTTTGCTTTGTTGCTTCATATTCTTAAAAATATGATATGACCTTTTTTTACCAAGTCTGAGTATACTCCTAATCAGAACAGACACTGCTAAGAGTGGACCACTGGTATGCTTCAGGTCAGGGGGGAGGCCGCTTTTTTAAAATAGGAATGCTGAGGTTTATTCATTTTTATTAACAACAGAGCTATGCTCTGTGAGACACAAAGAAAGGTATTAAGACAAGACTGCAACTGGCAGCATCTCCATAAAATATTTTTACTATGCGTGTATGGTTTGCCACTTGATACCAGCAGAGGAGGGTTGTTAGAAACTTTGGAGTATCCCTGTATTCATGGGAAACTTTATGTAGAGCTAGGGTTTTTCATATGGATTCCAACTGCCAGTTCACTGCCTGTGACATGTCCTTACTGGCATGTCCCTGTTGGTCTGAAAAGCATTTAGAATTGCTGTCTCCCATCAGTCCTTCTCTTGCATGGAATAGGAGCAAAAGGAGAACAGAGAGATAAATGCTAACTGGCCTAATGGGAAAGCCTGAGTCCCATCAGATTTGCGTAGCCCTGATTTGTGCCCATTCTGCTCTCTGACACTAACTTTGTGGAGGGAAGCCTCTCTCAGCACATGTCTCTGCTTCCCCAGTGAGTCAAGTTCTGTTACGAGACAAGAGGTTATAGGCTACCTGAGTGTGAAAAGAATATGCCACTTGCAAGAAAATGCCAAATGTTTTATTTGATTTCTCCATCTGTTGGAAATTGCCATACTAGAATCATTTTCTTCCTGCAGGAAACATTTGTCCTTTTGATTTCTGAAGTCTTAATGTGTGAGTTCCTCTTTGGCAAATGAGTCACTAGGACAGAGCCAGGCTTCCATAAGTTTTAATACGGAATAACTAACATTTAGTCTTCACATTTATCAGTATCCTATGTGTCTCTGTAAAGACTTGGAATGAGCAATTTGGTCTTAGTTCTTCTTTGCCACCTGAAGTTCCAACTGTTTTGAGATTTAGGGAAGGAATGGGTTTGATTTCTGGGTTCAAAAACAAAACGGGATCTCTCTGAAGCATTCTTCCCCGCAGGTCATGAGTGCAGACTTTTCTAAGGCTGACACGGAATTTTCACCACCAAAATATTGGTGGTGAAATAGTGAGCACGGATGTAGAAATAAACTGATTATGTCTGTGCTGTGAAGTATGGCTTTATTGCACACCTGCCAGCTGAGGAGATGGACTGCCTCTATTACCCGTGCATAGTTGACTAGAACGTGGTTGTCATTATTAAGAAATAATGCTTGTGATTAATGGGTGTGCGATTAATAATGAGTGAGTTCTACAGGCTTTGAAAATATCTGTTGACCTGTGAACTCAGGCCTCCCTTGCATAATGAGATCCTATTGAAACATTTTGCTGTTGTGCTGTGTGGTGTATGTCCAGGCTGGGGGAACTGAAGAACTGGATAACAAGACCATTCATGGTGCAACTGAATGGAATACAAGCATTGCATATGCTCCTGTTTTACTGTTATACACTTGCTTTTACTGCTCTGGTGTTGTTTCATTATCCAGTGTGCATCTGGTGTCAAAAGCTATTTTAAAGGGATATGCATTGAAGTTATTGGAAGTAGCAATAACATAAAAAGTATTTAAATGCCCTTCTTGGTGTCTTTTTTTCCTCATTCCATTCCAAAATTTGAACTGAAGAAAACCATTATTGATACTGTCTCTAATGTTTGTATTTCTGTACGTTAGTTTGGTTCAGTCTCTGCTTGTAGACCAAGCTCATATTCCAAAAGACTAAGCTACATGAAAGTCTCTGTGCGTATCCCTGGAAGTCCCGGAAGAACAGTTTAGAGAGCCCGAGGAAGATGATGAGGACACACTGGGCACAGGGATTTAGGTAGAATGTGTCTGAATACTTTTTTCAATGTTACTGAATGAATATTTGTGTAGAATCTATGTTTATCACTTGTGTCGATCAGGTTTTTTGTGTGTGTGTGTTAGAATTCAAAAGTAGGCCAAAAACCTACCATACAGGGCACATCGTGCACAGAAACGTTTGTGGCACAACCGTTTAGCATGGATGATGTTTTCTGAAGCTTTAGCTCTGTGATCCAGGGCTTTTTGACTTTATCCAAAGTACTAAAAAAGAAGGCGACAGCAGGTATAAGCAGGTAGAAAGTGAATTTGATTGTGTAGAAAGCTAAAATGTCCATAATTGAGAATTCAGGCAGCAGCATTATGGCTCCATCCTCTAAGCCTTTAGCCCTGTACGGAGTCCTGTTGGCAAGTTAGGCTTGGTCACTCAATTAAGGGTTTGCAGAATCAAGCCCATGGATTTTTTCCTTTCCCAGATCCCCATGCAAATACATCCTGGTCCTCTTCCACCTCCCAATCCAGTCTTGTCGCCCTGGATCATGTTCCTGGTAAGTACAGAAGGAAAAAGTTAATTATGCCCATGCTGCCTGACTCTGGAAATCTTTGAGTTTCATTTATCCTTCTGCATTGGACTTACCAATAGTGGAAATTCTGGACCAAGTGTTTTCTTTTTTTCTTTTTTCCTTTTTTTTTTTTTTTTTTTTAAGGAAAAAATATTGGTTTTGGTTTGGGTTTTTTTTTTTTTCTTTTTTCCTTTTTTTTTTTTTTTTTTTTAAGGAAAAAATATTGCGGTTGGTCTCTAATACGTGCAACTTAGAGTTTGAACCTGAAAACAGGGTGGCTTCATCTGCATGATACTCCTTGAAAAACTAGGCCTGGCAAATGATGCTATTGCGTAGTTAGTCTCTAATACGTGCAACTTAGAGTTTGAACCTGAATACAGGGTGGCTTCATCTGCATGATACTCCTTGAAAAACTAGGCCTGGCAAATGATGCTTTCTGCTGCGAAGTCCTATTTGATGTTCAAAGCTGTGTTTCCCTTTGAAATGTCTGAGGTTTTGAATTCTTGTAAAGCCAATTTTTTAAGTGCTGTAAGGCAGTTCCTTTGGCCTGGGCTGATACTGTTTTTTACATGAACTAAATATGCATGAGAACATTTCCTTGATGTGAATATTCCTTCTCAGTCTAAGATCTGTTCTTCATCAGATCACATAGGAACGGTTAAAAGTGTGCTTGTAGAAGGGCTCGTATTTTAATTGTTAAGGTTTCCAAATGGCTGTGGTAGGTTGTCCACTCAGCTCCAATTTCAGGTTTAAGATTTTGTGTTGTGTTTGAAGTACTTGATTGGATGAAGAAAATCTGAATTTAATTCCTAACTGGATATTGCTCCTGTATCACTGGGTAACTCGATCCTTTCTGTGGAATGGAAACCGTAATATTTCCTTTCTCATTTGCTGAAACGTTTTGGCTTCTCAGGGCAGCTACTGTCTCACCCACGTATTTGTACACTGCCTCACACAGTGAACCCCCCTCACACACACCCTCTCTCACCTGTGAGCCTAAGGGTGCAACAGTATAATAAGTGATGTTTTACAGCAAGTATGGACAGCTTTAATGTATTAGTATTTCATATAAGTGCGCTGCTTTCTCCTCAGGCATTTCCAGCAGCATGAATTTTGATGAGGAAGAAGATGAGGAAGATGAAGACAGCTCCAGTTCTTCACAGTTAAACAGTAACACCCGGCCTGGTTCTGCCACGAGCAAGAAATCCAATAAGGTAAGGGGTGAGTGCCGAAGAACGCGCATGCAGGCTGCTGTGTACTGCGTGATTTCAGAGTGCAGTCAGGATAGGCCTGGCTCTCTTGTTTTGTTTTTAATATGCACTAGAGTATCTCCAAGGTGATTTACTGTGATAGCTCTCAGGGTTCACAGGAGCAAGCAATGAAAATAACTTGGAGAAAAGAATAGCAAATATTGTCTGAACTTGAATGAAGAGAAAGGTAAACAGTAAATATTTACCTTTCTACCTCTTGCAGGTGCTCAGAAGGATCTTTTGTTTCTATTGCCTTTTTCTGAGCATTTTCCCACCCTGTTCTCACTGCTAACATCTGAACATAAACTAAGACTTGGTCTTGTTCAAATATTCTAAATCACAAGCTCTTGCTAAACCAGTTGATAGTGCCCCACTCTTTTATATACTGCACTGACTTCTCATCTCTCTGATATCTCTATCTAGGTTAATCTGTCTTTCCCTACCACATTTCTTCCTTTCATCAAAGGCCATCGCTGTCCTTGGGTATGGCCTTTCTGAAAAAAGAAGTGTGGTGAGATGGGAAGGTGTGAGCCAGGGTTTGCTTTGTAACATTACAGCACTCTGCCTCTGCAGCCACCCCGTTCTGCTTTGCCAGATGTGTTTGTACACTGAGCATCAGCGGCACAGAGAACTGCTCCCTGGGCCTTTGGCAGCCAAGAGCTTGACCGATTGGATGGGGAGAGATCCTTAGCTTGATAAGCTGTCTTCAAGGCTGCTGAGGAATCAGAATGGGGAAGACAATATGTCCGTTGGTTTTATTTTTTTAAAGTGTGGCTTCTATCAAATGTCATTCCTTTGTACTTATAACCTTGTAAATCAAAGATGAGGAAACCTGAGTTTTGCTTACTGTTTTAGGAAGCAGCCTCAGCCCCCAGTCCTTCCACAAATGAGCCTCTCATAGATGTCGATGACCTGGAGGAATTTGCCGTAAGACCTGCTCCACAGGGTGTCACTGTCAAATGCAGAATCACAAGAGACAAGAAGGGAATGGACCGAGGGATGTACCCTACTTATTACCTCCACTTGGAAAGGGAGCATGGTAAAAAGGTCATAAAATAACTTGAATGGCATACCAGTTGCATCTGAATATAAAAAAATTATTAAAAGTCTGAAGAAGTCTTACAAAGAAAATATAATCTTACATTTTAAATATATTTTCACTTTCACTGAGATCTGCCCTACAGTCTTCCAAAAGCAAAACAATAGTATCACTTTGTTCTACTGTCTTTCTTCATATGTCTAATCTTTGGCCTTAAATAATCCATGCATGGCACCTTTACGTGACAGTCAGCAGTTGAGGCTCTCTGCATTCTGTGGCCTGAAAAGCATCTGTTTTCAATTCAACTGGAAGAGCCACAGCAACTTAGAAAGAAACATTTAACAAAATAGATCGAATTTAATTATTTAAACCATAAATAATGGACTGAGTGGTTGAGAAGTCACTTTCCCTTTCCGGATTTTTATCTGGTTTTGCTAAGTCCCAGGAGACCTTCTGTTACTTTGCTAATAATGCCGGAAGACAGAAAAATTGCCTATGGTTTCCTTATATCAAAGCAGGAAGTGGTGTGTGCTAACCCCTTTGGCATTCTAGAATATGTTTTTTTGCACTGCTTAGGTGTTTCTGTTAGCTGGAAGGAAACGAAAGAAGAGTAAAACCTCTAATTACCTCATCTCCATAGACCCAACTGACCTGTCTCGGGGTGGAGAGAGTTTTATTGGAAAACTGAGGTAAACACTGATACATCTACGAATTTTCTTTATCTAAATAAAGTTCATTTCAAATTAAGAAGCCTGTAAGCCACTATGACTTCTTAATTAGAGGCTTGACTACATCATGTGATAATGGTCTTAAAGTTTACCAGTATCCAAGGCATGTTTTCAAAACATCTCAAGTACTTACGAGTTCACATTCTATTAAAAGTCAGCAGGACTGAAACTCTTAAATGCTCAAAGGCCAGGTTCTCAAGGGTGTATGAGCACAACTTATCTTAATGGGATTTTCAGAAGTGCATGAGTAGATTGTGTCTAGCCCCTGTTGATATATATACCTTGGAATGGAAGTTCTGTCTGTTAGACAATCTGAAAATCTCCTTGGTTTTGCCCATTTCTTAAGATCCTAATTAGCATTATTTACAAGTAGTGGAATTCTTTCAGAACCAAGTGTTTCTTTTCTGTCTGTCATCCCATCATACATCAGTCTGTTGTTTGATACTTAACGTGGAGCCTCTCAATGTATGTTTAGATTGTCTGTGCCTGAGGAAAGGGACTACTGCTAATTGCCATTTGCCTCTGTGGATCTTGGAACTTCATGCGCTATTTATTGCAGTGCAAAAACAGAATGAGGATAATGTGCTTTTAGTATGTTCTAAGTTGTATTTTGTGCTCCTTGGTGTGACTGATCTTACTTACAACTTTATGAAAATCAGTCTCTGTATAGAGTTAGTAGTCAGGTAAAAAAGCAGATAGTTTTGTAGAGAGTAAGCATATTTTAAAAACCAAGCAAACACATGCAACAACCCCACCTGTTTCCTTAATGCTTTCTTGAATTTACTAGTTTGCAAGATGTCATGAGAAATCTCCAGTATAATGATAAGGGACCTTTAGTATACTCTGCTGTACTGTACCTTTACATTTTTGTTACGGCTTTTAATCCAGGACTTGCCATTTAGTTGGGATTAGAATTAACTATTTGTACTTGATACTATTCGTCTTTCCTTTGGGGCTACAATGCAGTAAAGGATAGATGTCTCGGGCAGCGTTACTGGCAAATGGTGATTGGATTTTCCTTTTTTTTTTTTGATAGATCAAATCTTATGGGAACTAAGTTTACAGTTTATGACAATGGAGTAAATCCAATGAAAACAACATCAAGCCTGGAGGCGACTATCCTGCGTCAGGAGCTAGCTGCTATTTGTTATGTAAGTACTGCTCACAGGCAAAATATGGAAGAAAGGGCAGTTCAGTTTCTGAAATAGCACACTGAATTTCCTTCTCACTTATGATTATGTAAATCAGCATTCATACTTTGATGTAATCAAACAGTTGATCTTCACTAGATAAACCAGGAAATTCAGTGGAAAGTAGAGGTGAAAAACGTGCACAGAACCAGGTTGCCCAGCTCTCACTTTTGGTCAGAAGGTGTTGGAGCTTTTACATAACCCTCTGGAAGAGGTAGGATGCTTCACAGCCTGCAGGCACCATCTGAGGAAGCCTCCTGAACTGGAAAGACTTGTGAACATGGAATTACTGCACTAAAGTATGATCATTTGTAATGGCATTTTGGAGGAGGCCTCTCTGATCCAAAACACAGGTAACTGGACAGCTAGGTCTGCAGCAGTGGCTGAGAGACTGGGACAAAAACTCTAAAACTCCTTTTTACCAGGAAAAAAAATGAACAAACCCCAAACAAAATCCAAAATTTAATTGAATGAGAGAAACCAGCTTCTTACAAGACAGTAAATAGCAGTTGTCAGGGGCAATGCAGACAATCAAGACTTGAAGCACAGGTGTTGTTGTTTCATGATTACTGGATGACTAGCTGTTTTGGTGAGAGTATTCTTTCTGTCCAGAAGTCTCTGGGCCCAAGAAACTCTTCCAGTCAAAATTGGTACATACACTGCTACAGAAGGTTTTCTGTTTTCACAAATCAACAACTTCTGACAAAAATACCCAAGAACCACTTTTCTGAAAAGTTCCTGCCCAGCTTTAATCAAGGATGCCCGGAGCTATGTCAGACCGAGGTCCAGCCATCCCAGCATATACCCTGAGTATGCACAGAATGCGTTCCTGGAAAGGTCAGCTCTAGGTTGCAGGGAGCAATGTGTCTGGAAGCTTTTGGCACATGAAAAAGAAAGCAGAGAGCCATCCCTTCCACACAAAGTGCTGAGAGCATTGAGGGGTGGCAGTATTAGCTGCTAACGTGTTCTTTCCCTGCTGCTTAGGATGCAGTTTTTCTGTGAATATAGTATAAATAGTGGTTTTGTTCGCATGTGCTGTTATTCAGGCACATGGCCTACAGTTGCAGACAGACAAACACACACATATCCCTCCATTCCTGTTGGATTTGAAACTCTCTGAGAATGTCAGAAAATCCAGTTAACAGGATTTAACAAGAGAGTCCAGGATTTGATGTCAGTTTACAGTTTGACTGACGTTTCAGTAGGAACCTAGGAGAACTTACATGTTTAATAAAGGTAATTTTACTGGTTTATGGAGGAGGGCATTCCCTGGAGCCAGGCAACTAGTCTTCTGGTGCAAAGTAGAAATACAAGGAGAAAACAAAAAACTGTTTTAAAAAAAGTTATGTATTAAAAAAATTAGGCATTGCTTGTATAAGTCAACAGCAATGACATTTGAAACATTAACATTGCCAAATAAAAAACTCAGTTGCAGTCAGCAGAGGTAATTAGAAGTGTGAGTGTTGGAAAGAACAGAACCATGGCCGCTGTTTGGAGAATGTGGCTAAGATAAGCTGCTTTTATATGTCTGTTTTGAGATCAGCAGTTTAAAACTTGTACATTTGTATAAGAAAATGACTTGTTCCATTGATATCTTTATACTTGTGGAGAAAGGCAGCAGGCTTGCAGGTGTGCTGTGGCCAGAGGACAAAAGGAAATCAGAATGATATTTCATAACTAGCCAGGTTTGCTGAAGTAAGATTAGTGTTCCTGGCTGCAGCAGAACCACAGCAAAGAATGCCAGAAAGAGCACTCCTGAAACACCCTTTTAATTCCTGCCTTGAGATTTTTCCTGCAGCAAAAACTATAATAAATAACACTTTGAAAGCACCACTATGCCTCTCACTGTTTCTCAGCTCATCCGATCAAGTATGCATCTGGAGAGCAAGCTGTACCTGCTTCCATCAACTTACTGAGCCTGACCTGCTGAATCATCTCAGCAAGTCTAGTTTATACAGGCAGAAGGTGGTGATGCATCTATTGTTAACTGTGGGATAAACGTGCTGAGAACTCTCATTGTGGAGCTCACCTTAGGGCATGTTTCAAGCAGCAGGAATAAAGTTAGTGCAAGGACCGAGTTTTATCAGGTGCTGTTAACCATTTTTACTCTCCCCGCTGATGGCAGGCTAGCATATTAATAAACCTGCAGCAGCACCTAATGGCTGATTTCAGAATCGCTTGGCAAAATTTATCAAGAAGCAGGGAGGTGTAACTGTACCATTTGTACCAGGATTTTCTGTGCTGGATTCCTTTATGTCCATAGTATCTCACAGTTCAGTTTGTGTCAGATTCTGCAAGCAGGGAGCTCAGCTGATATTCTGAGGTGTGACTCAGGTTTCAGGAAAGCAATAAAACTATGTATTTCTACTCAGGCCTCAATCGCTTGCATTGTGCTCCAATGTAGTGGGTTCTGTAGTTTGGGCTTTTTATGGAACGATAGTTTCTACAGAATATATTAAGGACAGGGCACAGCTGTGTGAATCAAGTCCAGAAAGGGAAATGGCTGAAGGAAAATTGGGGTAATTAAATCGTGACTCTCCTGGGAGCTGTTGGGATATACGCCTTGCAGCTTTTATCATGGTAGCTATTGCAACCATAGTGAAATGCTTACGTGATTTTATGAAAGTGTGTAAGATTTTAAAAGCAACCCTGGGGAGAGGGGCTGTGTTCTTTCAGTCCAGTTTATTGTGACACACACTCACAGAACAGCTTGGCCTAAGGCAGGGAGTGCAGCTTCAAAGCAATACTGGGCCAAGTCCTTAGCTGATTTAAATAATTGGTGTGCTCGTTGAGTCAATAGGGCTCTGCCAGCTAACAGCTCTTATTTTGAGTTCCTATGTAAACGAAGACTGTCAGTGGCATTAAAATGGTGTGAAATCAGACTTTGGCCTATGTTCCCCTAATAATGCCATTTGCAGTCTTGAACTTACACACACAAAATAGTGGAGGAGGGAAATAAGAGAAACGGGGAATGAGACAGGAGATAAGGGGAATTAATTTTATTTGGATGCAGGTAGATTGGAAAGGTCTGCTTTTAATTAAAGCTCCTCTTTTTGTCCCTACTGTTTTCCTCATATAGTCCATGTTTGTAGAATTTCAATTCTGTACCTTGATTTTAGCAAAAGGGTAGTATTTGCCAATAAAACGTTTGATATAATTGGTGACTGATGTAATGCGCAACTAGAAACTGTTCCCTTATCATTTGGCAGAAGCATTGATTTCAGTGTTTCTGAGTAAATCCAGATATAGTCCTGTTTTTTCAGAGTGATAATACTGTTTGTTGGGAGGGAAGTGGTTCAGCGCTATTATTTAATTTTACCTTGAACAATGTCTTCAAGCAGTCGGCATCTAAATTAATTGTATGTAGCAGAACTGCAGCTTGATGAGAAGAGCTTGTAAGGCATTGCAGAGAAGAACAAAATTGTCAGTAGTTACTGGAAAATAAGCATGAATCTTTTCTTAGAAATTGTCCTCTGCTGTGCTGAGTCTCTCCTGCTTATAAAATCTGCTGGCAGTCATTTTAGTTTGAGTCTCGCCATGATGCAAAACCAAGTATACACTTCCAACTGAACTGATAACATTGGTTTACTCTGCCAAAGGCCATGACGTAAGTGATTCAGAAAAGAGGTAGAATCTTCCCATTAATGTATATAGTTATGAAGATATAGGAATATACTTGGATTGCTTCAAGAGTATTCAGTAAAATAACTCAGTGGAATTTTTCTTGCATGCATGAAAATCTTCAATGAGTTGTGTAAAATCTCCAGTTGGTTTGCTGAAACAACCAAAGTTATTTCAAAGGTCTGATGGATGACAAAACTTCTGCACAAGTAAATTTTAGGCGGGTATTTTCAGATGTTTCCAGTGAGTTGAGATGTGTGGATTTTTGCTTGTAAAAGTAGAGATGTTTTAAAAAGTTTAGCGTTCCTTAAAATCAGGACACTTTAATTAAATATATAAAAGCAGAGACATCTGAATATGTCATTCTGTACATCCCAGTGGTAGAGCCACACCAGCTGGAGCCTGGGGGTGTCCAGTTCTTGGCACCTTGTGGTACATTGTTGGCAATAGTCCAATGAGAATTTCCTTTCTGAGATTCCTTAGTGTGTGTCCACAGACCTTCACTTGAAAAAGGTAGAGGGGGAAAAATGCATGTGACCGAAAAAAAATAAAAGTAGCACAAAACATGAGGAGATGGACTTTTGGAGGTGTCACTGTTTCATTTACTGGAGTTAATGCTAAAATGGGCAATCAGGTTTTACTGAGTGAGTTGGAAAATATCGCCCTTTACTTTTTCAAAAGTAGATGACGACTTACTGAAATATTTGGCCCCAGTTTCTTCTGTGGGAAAAAGAAAGCCTCAGATAAAAATAAGACTTTAGGCCTATTTAGATTTTAGAGGTTGTGTTTTGAGACGATAGTGCAATACTGGAACCCTTTTGTGAAAAGCTGGTCAGAAAGGCATCAAATCATGTTTAATGGAAGAACTTGTATTTTCAATGGATTTGGTTTTGCTGCCCATGTTATTTCTTTACTTTCTCTGCCTTCATAGCTCAAAAATTTGCATTCATGCTAATGTGTTTGTTTTTTACCATGCTCATCTCTAAGCATAACATATCTGAAGACTTTGAAAACCACAGCACTGCTAACAGATGCTCTTACTGGCAGCTTCTTCTCGTTTGCTTTTGTGCTGGCTCTGGAATAAATGGAGTTGGTCCCATATATTTAATTTTGTCTCTCATCAAAATGTGTGACTGCATTGTATGATTTTTAAATTACAACTACTTTATTTTGGGATCTAGCAGTAGCCAAGCAATCTGGTTAGTTTCTTAACAAAGGGATTCTTTTTTAAAATTGCATTAAGGTTGCTGGCAGCCAGTGCTAGGAGTGGTTTTGGAAACCTCTCTATTTCCATTTTTCCTGTTGTCGGAGCTTCTAAGACAAAGCTAGAATGTTTGGCAGTGCCAGTGAAGGTTGGAGTTTCAAGATGTTTTTTGAGTTGACTAACAAATAAGTTCCCTGGGCTGCCACTGTGTCTCTCTGTTGAAGAAGTTAACTTTAAAAATACAGAACATGATGAACTCTTTTCTAAACATTTTTAGGAAACAAATGTCTTGGGGTTTAAAGGACCTCGTAAAATGAGTGTGATCATACCAGGAATGAATATGGACCACGAAAGAGTTTCCATCAGACCACGAAATGTAAGTCATACCATCAGTCAACGATAAAGATTACTTGAATTCTTTTTCAGTTAGAGTTGGTTTTTTGCATTTCTGAAGGTTTAGAGGTTAAAAGAAACAGTATTTGAACAATTGCAGAACAATGGGATGTGTGACTAGTTCTGTGACTCACAAAAGCACTACAAATAATGATGCATTTTGATAACAAAAGATACAACTAACCTTTTCCAAGCTGTGGAAAGGACTCAAATGCACATTCGCAATAAGATACTCAGTTTCATTTGATGATACTGTTTTGAGGATTGAGGGTGACAGTTTAGTCTTTGGGCTAGGATTTATGAATGGTATTTTTTGTCTTGTGAGAGTGTTAAACTGAAGTGTGTATCTATGGTGTGTGCAGGAACATGAAACACTTCTTGCAAGATGGCAGAACAAAAACACAGAGAGTGTCATTGAGCTGCATAACAAAACACCAGTCTGGAATGATGACACCCAGTCCTATGTTTTAAATTTCCATGGTCGAGTCACACAGGCCTCAGTGAAAAACTTCCAAATTATTCATGATAATGATCGTAAGTATAGCTCTCTGTCTGTAATGTGTAGAAACAGTACTGCACACACAGTCTGACAGTGATTCTGCCCTTACTGTTGTTACCTGAGTGAGTGTAATTTAGTTATGTGGGTCCAACTTAATGCTGCTCTGCCATGTGGCTATGACATTGATGCAAGTTGGGTGTTTAAATGCTCATGCTTGAGATGGGTGATTCTGCTATGTGCTATCTTAGTTTTCTCCCTTGGCTGCCCGGCTTATGAACTGAGCAACAGTTTAGAGTTGTTTCTGCTCTCAGAGCTGTGGTACTTCCAGTCAGCAGGACTGTGGGGCAGTATCACTCCACTCAAGCACTTGTATCACACAATCCTTTCTTGTTTTTTTTTGTTCACGCTGGTCCCCATATACTGCCCAGCTGGAGATGGTGGCAGTCAGACCGGTCCCACTGCACGTCCACGTTGCCATTACTACTCTTTGTAGCATTAGCCCTACAGAACACCCTGAAAATGTCAGGATTGCCTTTCACACATCACTAGGACCTTACTGATGTGCTGCTTTCTGCCAGCAGTGTACAGCCCCCTTTTTTCTCGGGCTTAAGTACAGTTGTTGGAGCAGGGATAAAGACAAGTGCTCGAGTGGAGTGATACTGCCGCACTTTACACTCACTTTAGGCAGCCATAGTCACTAGGTGCTGGAGCACATTGGGCTATACCAGTGCCATGCTTAGACTGCGGGGGAATATTGGAAACTGGTGAAAGTCGCTCTGCCAGTCTCTGAGAGCAACACTGAGTTTGAAACATTGGTGTATGCTTTTGCTGCATTTTATAAGGTGAAACAATTACATCTGCTTCTACAATGAAACATTCAAACTGTGAATGAGGCGAGTTTTCCTCTTGCTGACAGAGTACAAAAGGGAAAAAAAGTTGAGGAAGAATTTCTGAATATGATATAACAGAGAGACATGATTAGGTCTAGATCACAATCATGCCTTCTCTTCCCCCATTATCCTTGCTTGTCCACTTGCCTGAAGTTAAGTAGGAATAGGATTAATTGGTTCTTGGTACATGTGAAACTCAGCACTAACTCTATATAAAAGGCTTGAGCATTTTATAGAGAAGCAATTTTCTCTCTGTGTTTGAAAAAAACACTTTTTATCTGTGTAATTTTTTTGAAGACAGTAACAAGTCTTGCAATCCTTTATCACTCAACTGTTTCTCACTCAAGCTATCCTTGCTTCTCCCTCTGATATCAGCACGCCCACTTGCATGAAGAAGTGTTGCAAAGTTTGATGAGTGAGCATGTTTTGTTTGTATTTTATTGAGCTGGGCCAGAGGATGATGTTGAATGCATACTTATTTAGTAAGGGCTGCAAACAAAAATAATGCTTTGTCACTTTTTATGACCTTTCTTGCAGCTGACTACATAGTGATGCAGTTTGGCCGCGTGGCTGAGGATGTGTTCACCATGGACTACAACTACCCAATGTGCGCACTACAAGCCTTTGCTATTGCCCTTTCAAGTTTTGACAGCAAGCTGGCTTGTGAGTAAAGGGGCATGGGTGAGCATCCTCTCAAAGGAAGCAGTTTGCCATATGATTCCCAATTCCTGCTGGTGTCCTGCTGGTCCATACTAAACAGGTCGGGGAAAATGCCGTTGTGGAGGACCACTCTATTGCTGAAGAGAAAGTAAAAGGAATCTTCTAAAAAATTCAGGACATTCAGGAAATAATATTTTCCTTTTTTTTCTGTCATATTTTTCTGGAAGTGGCATCAAGTTTGTGTAAATAGAAGTTCTATCTCATGTCCTTGATTATGTTATGGAGATGTGCCATGATGTACTGTACCGTGGCTCTAGTAGCACCATTATAACGGTGTCTTTTTTAAATCCAGAAAGGGCGTGCACGCTCGAAAAATTTCTTTTTACATATAAGAATTATTCTGAGGCTGCAATCATACCTCAAGGTTGCATTTCTACATCAGCTAATCAGAGCTTCACATCATCCAACGTAAAAGAAAGATCACAAAAAAGATGCACTTTTTTGAATTTGCAAGGATCTCGTGTAGTATAAAGCCAAGTCTGAGGGCTGAAAAACCTCTACTGGACTGAACTTGATGCATTGCTATTGTATATGTAGAAGGGCATGATGAATTTTAATTGCAGTAGGAGGAAACGGAGAAGTAGAAAGCACAAAATAATGTTGCACAAGTCACTTGAATTCTAAGCTGTCATTATGTTTTAACATCTACATGCTTTTTAATTTGTTTCAAATGGAAATGTATTTGGAGTACAGAAAAGGAAAACGTCTAGATGCCAAGAAAACATAACTTACGTTGAATTTGGCATGTCGCGTGTTGGGAATTTATATCCTTGTATTGCTGTGGTAATTCAAACACGTATTTTGTATGAAGTGATATAAACAGTTGGATAAAGGCTCTCTATAGAGAACCTTATTATTTTGAACAGGCTGTGTAAAGCTGAGGAAGGTAAATGGAAATATTTTATTAAATTTGTCTGGCCTTTTGCGATTTTACAATGTGTTGATTGCATTTTTTGAACTTTCAGCAACAACCACTTTTCATATTTATTTCCCATTGTAAGAATGCTTGAAATCGATTGAAACTGTGTATGTTGTTCTCTAATGTAAACGTGCCAGCTACTGAGCTAAATCCTTCTAGGCAAATCTAGTGTATGCTGTATACAAATGAGACACTGGCAGGACACAGAATAGCTTAAAATAGTGTGGCTTTTTTGTTTCTTTTTTTCTGATTTATCTGGAATATATAAAGAAATACCATTCCAAAACACAAGCAAAGAACAAGCCATTCTCTTCTCTTCCCTTCTGAACATCTCGAAAGCCAAGAGCTGCAACTGAAAGCACACTGTAAAACACCTTTAAAAATAAGGAGTCTGTCTGCCATTGTTCTGTACAATGTTATCCTAAACGGCACCCAAAGTAATAGAATTTATATGTAGTTCACCAGAAGGGTATTGAAATGTGAGTGAAGAAGTAGTTGCGTTTTATACTGTGTGTATTCAGATCCTCTTTTTTACTCTTCATAGACTCTCGCACAACCAAAGATTATGTAATGAGAAAATGAGATCAAATCTGCTTGTCTCATAGCTGTCAGTCCCTTTTTGACTATAGGGGACAGGCCATAAGGAGAGGTTCTGCCATTTGGACTGTATAATTTCAACTAATAAAAGAAATATGCTCTCTTCTTCATATTTGCTTTCAGGTCTCCTTCCCAGTATGCAGACAAGGAAATTTCAGATAAGAGATGAAAATAAGTAATTGCCAGCATTTTTTCTAATCTTTTTTAAAATCTATGGAAAAAAGTCTGCTGGCTTTGAACAGTGTTTTGTTCATGGACTCAGCCTGTCAAATGTCAACTTTAAATAACAGGAAGCTCTGTCATTTTTTTCACATCTTTTTGCAAGAAGCCTTTCCATGCAATGGTATAAAATGGGAAGACACCTTTTGTTTGAGAGAAACGAGCAGTCCGTTCCCTTAATGAATGATCAAAATGATGAGTCATGAGCTGCAGTGTGATACTTAGGCTTTGCACATGGATGCTTTGTTTTCCCCTGTCGTCGGTGGTTTCCCACTTCACATCCCCATCTGTGATCTCACTTTGAATTTTAACAGAGAGGGCCCTTAGGCCTTTGGTTACCTCATGTCAGTCTTTAAAAACTAGCTCGAATGATAACCAGAATTTTTTGTTTAGACTACTGCAAAACCAGACAAGAATTCCCACTGATGGTATTTAGGTGTGATGTGGATTTCAAGAACCCTGCAGCATGGGAATGGTTGAATCTGCATGGCTTTAATTCTGTGGCTCACCAGTCATACGTTTTCTTTAAAGCCTGAGAAAGTGGCACCTGACATAGCTTTCTGCCTCTCTCTGTGCACAACACCGTGTCAAAGGAACTAGGTGTCTTATGGTGCAAATATACGATCCGTTGGCTTTAGTAGTGGAGTTGGTTTAGGAAGGGTTATTTTTAACATGGATCGTAACAATGGTCTGACTTGCATCATGGCCCCGCAGGGAACTGGCACAAAAAGGAAGCTCATGTGCAGTGAACTCCTGCACAAGGGTGAGAATGAGGGGCTGGGGAAAGGCAGAGAGTTCAGCTTCTTGGGACAGTTTTGCTGCCAGCACATTGTGTAACTTCACTCTCACTGAACGTTTTTCCCAGGCCAGGTATTTTTTTAACCTGTAAGCATGCCAGGAGGAAAGTGGTGACTCAAATTCCCATCATCTTAACAGAATCATACAGGGACATCAGCCAACGAGCTGCTGAGGAAAACATTCCCCACCATAAATTGAGGTCACTAGAGGGGGATGTTAACGTGGGACTAAGAGGAATGAGGAGCTTTCATTAAATCTGGTTCAGTTACAATAGGATTTGTGCCTAGTGGCCTTTGCCAAAACCCTAATTCCTCACTGTTGTTGAGCGAGGTACTGTTCTTTTGATCCACTTGACCATCGCCATCTGCTCTGAAAGCAGTTTCTTTTAATTCTGCATTATATAATTTCTGATGGACACTTTCTGGTGAAGGGCACTACTGCAAGGTGCTATCACAAGTTTTCCAGCGCACCTCCAAATTTTGTTTTCCTAACTTGGTAAAATCACAGCAGGTTCTGTCTTAACATACAGTCATATCTGAGATTACACAGTCCTCACAAAGTTTCATTCCCCCTGCCCCAGCAATAAAATCTTGGCACCAGTATATATTTTCAGAGATACATCCATACTAAAGTAACTGAGGAGTAGTTAGTGGCACACTCATATTAGTAGTATCTTCTGCAGGGCCTGCATGTCAGTGCGCAACAGGGCATAACCTTGTTTACTTAGTGTGACAAAGAATATAATGGCACCGAGCTATGCATTTCTTTCACATAGTCCTAGTGAGTGTTTGGATACAGTAGATTTAATATTATTTAAAATCCCAATATTGATGGTTTTTTGCATCTGCTGTTGATTTTGGCAGAGCGTTGTAAACAAATTCCTTGCCTGAATTGCTTATAGGCAAATACTGCATGCTTTAATGAGAGTTCTTAATCTAACTTGTCACTCTGTTTACATCAAACAGTTTCCTCCTGGCCCTTTATCTAATTTTCTTCATCTCTGATGTTCTGTTCCTTCTCATTCTCTTCACAATCCCTTTATCTTTTCTTCAAGGATGTGCAACTCAAAAGTGTTTATTTTGACAATATTACTCAGTGATCTCTCCACAGATGAATAATGCCTTCGGTGCACATCCAGTGATGCTCCTACAATAGAAGCCTTATCAGAGGTGTGAATTTGGCCCTTCGGCTTTTCAGTAGAGTAAATTAACACATTAAAAGGTAGCAGATAAAAAAGCTTGCCTAAAATGTAATCAGAATTTTTCTCAGTAAACATTCGGTAACCAGAGTTTCCAAACCATTGGTTGCAAATCAATGAGCAGAACTGTCCACGAGCCTGGAGGCAGGCTGCTAGACAGATTCCCTTTGTAGTGCTGCCTTATTTTTCCTTTCTCAAAAGGTTGAAAGTAATTTTGTGAGCTGAAGTGTGTTGGTGCCCTAAAATAGAGTTTATTTTTTAGAAGCTAGACGTCACTCCACTCCTTTTGGAGGATAATATATGGCACATAAAATAGTAATATCATAGGCCATTGTTACAAATTCTGATGCTAAGAAGTCTATGTGAATGATTTTGTAATAATTACTGGGCAAATCTCTCACTATTCAAGTTGCCTTACAATAGTGCTGGAGTTCCCAGCTGGCTGTCCTCATGAGGTACTAGAACTGAAGGAGCTTTAGTGAAAAGGGCTCTGTAATAAAACCTGGTAGCTGCACAATCGAAAAACATTATTGTGGAGTCAAATGACACCACTGAGTTTTATCGGTCATGGTGAACCAATGCCACCAATTCGAACTTTCTAGTGTTTTGCTCCCTTTTGATGAACAAAAGGAGGGACTTTCAACAAGCAGAGACGACAGTGATGTCTCTAGAAGTACCTACTTTTCTACCTATAAAAATCTTACCCCTGCCTGAGTGCTGCCCATTAAAAAAGGAAATCAATCCAGTCCTTAGTATAGAAAAATCGCTCCCAGTTCTTGTATCTTAGCTTTTTACAAATTTTATTATAAATTTATTAGTGATTTCACATAAGGATACAAGGACTGGATGTCACACAGCAAACGAGTTCTGTCCCTGAAGAGATGATGACTCTAGACCAGTATGAGAATATTTTGTCTTTGATTATTTTAGTAGGATAGGACAGGGGGTTGCCTGGTGTTTTTGACAGAGAGGGTTTCTCCTGATGTGTGGCAGGTGTCAGAGGGAAGATTTGGGGTTTGATCCTGTGGCATTCTAACTAGTTCCCCCATACTATCTCGTTGCTCTCCTAAAGCATCATTTGCAAGATTTTTCCTGATTTTAGAGAAGCATGTGCTCACCAATAAAATATCTTTGCTTGGCAAATAAGGACAGCACATGTGATAAAACAGCAGTCACTGTCATCACGGGGCTGATGATGGATTTCTCAAAAGGCCTCATTT